GTGCTAGAGACACGTGGGCGCAGGCAGCTCCACCAGTAATGTTTTCCCTGTTTTGATCCTTTTCAGGGCACTCAGTAACTTTCTTCAATCATTTGGACTCATGCCAGTCAGTGCCAGCCCACAGCACCCACCGCATGGAAGTGGTCCTGTTTGTTAGCTCATCACCGAGGGCGCAAGGGAATCAAACCCAAGAATATCTGCAGCGTGTAGCTCAAACAACAAGACACAAACTTCCATAGATACATCTCTAAAACAGGAATTAGAAACTCCAGATCGAGAGGGATTAAGCCCAGACCCTGTAGCTTACCTGCCCTTATTTCTCAACCCAGTGTCCCAGTAAATCAGCTTGGGGTCTCCCCTCTAACCCCAGGATATCAGCAAACCGCTGCACCCCCACCATCAGGATGGCACTTGGTTTCTCTCAACCGCTTCCACCCTTAGAAAAGAAGCCACAAAAAAACTTTGAAATGATATCAGAGTACCTGGTGCAGAGAGGAGCTGACGAGGTGCCACTGCCCAGCCTGGCTCCGCTGCGCATCACACGGGGCGCTCCCTGCTCTCAGATAAATGGATCTCCTGGCTCCTTTCCCTCCTCCCTGAGCTAAACATCACCATGCTGATTGCCAGCCACTGAGACATAGCCCTGGCCAACCCGCCCCCAGCACCCCCCCAGCACGGCAGAGCGCTGAGCTCAGGTGAAGAAGCTGCAGCTGCTGAGTACAACGTTCAGCTGGAAACAAAACACACTCACAAGGTGAAGCAGCCGCACGTCGGAGCGCACCAGAAGCCAGCAGCAGACAAAAACACGTTACAGCAGCTCTGCTTCCTATTTCCTTTTCCTTACGGATAATAAGAGTGGCAAAGGTCAGGGGATTTTTCGGGACAATTGCTCATCACCAGGCAGCTGAGGCTGGTGCAGGGTCAGCTGAGAACACTCAGGAGCCAGGGCCTAAAGCCCCGCTGGTTCCACCCTTTCCTACTGATTTCCTACTGGGTTACCAGCCGGGTGCAAGCATGACGGTGCAGAAGCTGGTTTATGAGAGGAGCTTTGGCGACAGCCACACCTGGCAGCGGGGAAGGACCAGCTGGGCGACGCAGCGTTGGGCTGTCAGAGCCCGGAGGCACTTTTGGGTCTGAATCTGGTAGCACCTGATGAAAGGTCTCTTGGAAACAAGCAAACTCTCATTGATTTTTTTCATGTTGCAGCACTACCGAGGCTCCTGGCCAAAATCAGCGTTGCGTGGCGTTGGTTTGTGTGCAGAGATGAGGTGTGGGGGGGTCTAACAGCCTGGGGGAGAGAAAGCAGAGGTACTGTAGGAGCAAGAATTAACAGCCAAGCCCTGGACACGTGTCGCGCCACCAGGAGAACAGCTTTCCTCCCCCTGGCGCTGTTGTGCACTATGATCCCAAATCAGCGGCACCATCCGTGGTGGCCCCCGGGCACCGTGATGGAACCAGCACTGATTAAAGACCCAAACTGCAGAAGCAGCGATATAGGGATGAGGTGATGGGAGCGTGACTGAGGGTATCGCTCAGCCAGCTCCAGCCTGAGGGACTGCAACAAGTGTCTGAGCAGTTTTCTAATGGTCTGAAAGCTGCAAATTTTACAGGGTATTTGAGGTACAAGTTGGTGTCTGTTTAATATTAAAAGGACAGAGAAGTGGCACAGGGTTTGATAAAAGAAAGCTGGCAGAAGGGTCTGGCTAAAAGGAAGAGTGGGGAAAAGTTGGATGTAGGCAAAAGGAGACGGGGATTATTTCAGTGGCCAGAGCCCTGCATGGTGTAAATAGCTTACTCTAGCTTGTATTGCCTGTAGTCATAAACGAGGGGAAAAAAAAAACTGTAGAAAGAAAGGATGATAAATTCCCATTTGAAGACAAAATGCAACAGGAGTATCAAAGATTTAATTTAAAATAGCTAAAGTATGTCTTGGTCCAGAAATCCTTGGCGAGCAACTGGTGAAAAGGGCCTGAAGCCAACAACGGAGGCTCTGTTAGGAAATGGGAACTGAAGCAATATCTACTGATGGGAAAAGGGAAGTGGCCGGGATATTTCTCAGCTGGTTTCACATCCAGGCGCCTCCTTTCATGCGCAGCCACTCGGTACAATCAGTGGGAAAGGGAGAGGTCCGAGCCAGGCTGGGCATGGCCGAGGGTACCGGGGTGCCGATGGAAACACCGTCGTGGGGGAACGGATTCACGGGGCGTTTCTTGTTTGAGACCCCATTTTCCCTCTTGTGCAAAAACTGCAATAGGGAAAGTAACCTCTCAGCTGCAAAGTCTGGCTTACCGCTGCCAGACTTGACTTGGTTTGTACCCAACAGAGAAAATACCAAAAACAAAAGGGTCTGTTACTTGTGCTCCGTTTTAAGGACTATTTTGGTGGAGCAAATGACCGCGCAACAACAGCGGCAAAGTGCAGAGGAAAGAGCGTTGCGGGTCCAGGTGACACGTTGCAGTTTGGTGCCCAAACGCAGACGGGTGCCAGGAAGGTTTAACCAAGTGCTGGTGCAAATGGAGAGCCCTGCACTCCTACCCAGCAGCTCAGCTCCCCTGCCTGCGGTACCTGACGCACACCTGAAGCACCAGGAGTTGCTCTGGGATCTGGATGCACGCCGGCTTTGCACGTGGGGTCACAGGACACCCCCAGAATAACGTAACCCCAGGCTGTGAGCAGGGACACTTGCACTTGCCATGGTAGTAGCATCTGTATCACCTCCCTCTAAACAAGCAGTTGTGTGAGTTTATTTTAGAACAGCCAGGCACATGGGAGGGTTTATGTTTCTTTCTTATATTTACATACAAATAAAACACAGAAATACATCCCGGCGCCACCACAACGGACCGTGTGCATGGAGCCAGCATCCAACCGCCCCGGCCGCACCCAGCGAGATGGGGCTCAGTTTAATTTCTGGCATAACTCTACCACACAGCAACTCCCTACCTCTCCCTACTGTAACTCGCAGCGATGTACGTCGTTTAAAAACGCGTCTGGAGAGGCTCTTTTGTTGCAAGTGTTCCTTCAGCACCAACATGTAGCTCGTATCCTCACCTATCAGCTGTTTCAACTCAATCTGCTTTGGCTTTTGGCGACGGAGTTTTAATGAGGTTAAAGTAAAACCTCTCAAAGGCTGAGGAGGGGGGAAAAAAAAATCTTTGCGTTTTGGAAAGAAACGGGTGTCAAGAGCAGTTGTGCGGCTGAGGGCACAGGCAGCGGGGAAGTGAGGTGCTGCTCTAGGATTTCGCAGCTCAGAGCCTGTAGCTGACGGGGATCCTGAGCTGGGGGCGTCCACCCCGAGCAGCCCTGGGCTCTGCGCCCGGTTAAGATATTGCTCTCCCCCTAAAGAGCGATCTGCGGTCTCCAGCTCCAGCAGGTAACGTGGAATTTGGAGGGCAAAGGAGAAAAGCAGAGACGCGGGGTTACGCAATTCTCAGCAGAACGCAGCGGGTTTGCACCCGCCGGCGGCTGCCGGGGGGATGGAGGAGGAGTGCGAGCGAAGGCTGAGCGTGACCCCCCCGGCTGGTGGTGTGGCCCCGTCTTAAAACGCGTAACAAGGACGATGTCATTTACCATTTTTTTCACAGTCTCTTATCGGAGTCATTTAGAAACAGCAGCAGAGGCTGGTGAAGCAGCAGCGGTGCGATGACTGAACTTGCGCTCACCTCTAAGCAGCCTGGGAAATACTAACCACAAACTTGAAGTGAATATATCTAAGGCCACAGGGTTGGGTTGGTTTTTTTTTTTTTTTTTTTTTTTTTTTTTTTTTTTTTTTTTTTTTTTTTTTTTTTTTTTTTTTTTTTTAGCTCATCAGCCATGCTACTTTATAAAGGCATCAGTAATGCTGCAGAAAAGAAGAACTGAAAATTCCAGAGGTGCATTTTATGCAGTATGAAATATGGTCTTCACCAGTTTCATATCTTAAATTTGGCTTTTGCTGCATTCCAGTATAATAGTCGGCTCGAAAGGAGCTCTATAATGGCATAGACGAACAAATACGTTACGCATAGAAAAGAGTAATGAATCCTGCCAACATCTTTGAGGAAATTTAAATTTGAAATCTGAACTAAAATAGGTATCTTCAGAGATATTTTTTTCCCCCCCAAGCCTGTTTTCTTTAAACTCCTATTTAACACCCTTAATTTAATTTTCAGTGCGGCAGATGTTACTTACCAAATACTTTCTAAATAATACCCGACTAGTGTATAGTACTGGATTTTAGGTCGAGAAATCTATATGGAGTTGCACAGTTAGTTAAGTGAGGACCCAATGACTTGTGTGAGATAAAACTGGTCCCTGTTTCAAACTTCCTGCAAGAAGTCTGACAAACCCAAAAGATTAGGTTTTTTTTTAAGATACAATATGCATATTTGTTCGGCCATGTCCCCACGTGCCTGTGGGAATACGAGCTCTACATTTCTAATACATTCAAAAGCCCAATTTCTAATGAACCAGGTGGTTCCAGGAAGGCGAAGAGACCTCCTGAAGAGAGGGATTAAAGTGGGATGAGTTAGTTCAGCACAGATTGGTCTTTATTTTGCGTTAGGCAGAGGAAGCCCTTGCTGGGGGCCCCAGCTTTTGAGCCTTTGGCCACTGAAATGCAGAGATGGTCTGATAATGATCTTGGTAGGGTCAGAGTCTGAATGTCAGTGAAGACAAATCGAGCGGTAACAGATGCGCGAGCAAGGTCAAACCCCCCCGACAGAGAGACGATGTAAGGTGGAAACTGTCCTTCAACCCCGCCACAACACAGCGGAGTTCCATCGAGAGGTCAGCTGGTTCCATCGAAAAATGAACCCACTTCTCTGGAAGTGACCTAACAGCACACATCCTGCACACCAGCGTTCCCAGGGCTCTCACGCAGAGCAGCCACGGGCTGCGTCCTGGCTGCCGAACGCACAAGAAATGCCAGAATTAAGATCTTAATCTTCACCAGTTGCAAAACACGTGGCTGTGAACCTGAGTTCAGATTCAGGACTAACTCAGCCGTCTTTCTTCCGCCGGCCGGAGCTGCTGGGTGTGCAGAGCAGCAACTGCTGCTGCGTGAGGGTCCGCATCCCGCCTCCCGAGGGGGGAGGCTTCCCAGCCTTGGCTTCATCCCACGCCTCTTCTGGCTATAAACATATATCGAGTGCTGTAAGGAAAGGGACAATGTTAACATATTCAATATTATTCTATTTCTAGATCAGCTGATAAAAATTATTCCTTTGGCCAGAGTGTATTCATTTCTGATATCTGTTCTCCCTGCAAGTGTTGTGTGTGTGTGTGTATATATATATATATATATACAGACAGCTGACTGCATTACCTCTGGTATATTCTATAATGCTCTTCTCCAAACATAGTCACCGAAGCAGCCTCTGGCAGGTCTGCCAACACCCTGACAACCACCCGCTCATCTCACCACCTTATTCTGGCTGTATGCCCTTACAGTGGGAAGGCACCGTTGTCTTCCTCATGCTAGGAACCAGCCCAGTGAGGTGGACAGTGGGGTCTGCCCTGCAGAAGGCTTCAGCACGGCAAGATGTGAAGATATAGAACTGCATTTTTCCTAATGCTCCTACGCTGAAGTCAGTTCCAAGACAAAAACTCTCTCCTTGCAATCCAGCTGGGAGATGAAAACTTAGATCAGGGAGCCTCAGATTTTTGTAGCCCTCCAGCAATAGCTGCAGAAGTCCTTGGCATAGTCTCTGCTTCCCGAAAGTTTATCCATTCCATCCTACCCAGCTCAGCCCAAAATATAATTTCCCATATTCCTCACCCCCTGCACTGTCTCAAGGTGCTTTAACTGTCTAGATCTGCTTTCCTTATGACCCAGGATAATGTTTAAACTCCCGGACGGGACACACCTCACACACCGTCCAGCTTGTAATAAGAACCAGGCGGAGGTGTGGGTCGGCGCTGGGGCTCGCAGGCTTTCCACCGCCTCGGCCTGTGCGATGGCTCGGAGCGTCCCAAAGCGACTAATGCAGGGCTTGCTGCTGCCCAGAGACAGAGCGGGGAGGCGCCTGACGCCCTGGAGTTTATGGCCACCTTAGCGAGTTGTGTATCATGAGAAATATGAACCAAGGCGGGGAGTTCTGAGCCACTGAAGGCACAAGCGATGGCTCTGGCATGGGAATAAGCTCCAGCCTCTGGCTGGTTATTTCCCAGATGACTTAGGACATACCAATCCACCACCAAAGCTTCAATTTTCCCCCTGAGGGAGGAAGCTGCGATGGCCCTGGGTGAGGATGGCTGGGCACGGAGATGCAAAGAGACGGAATGATTTCCTTGGAAGTCGCTCAGGGTGTCGGGCTGGGGCCGGAGTGGAGCGGAATCAGCATCTCCCGACACTTGGGCTGTGCACAGAGAGTTTCTGCTCATCCCAATTCATCCACCGACCGGTGACGGTCCACGCAGCCAGGAGATGATAAAGGCCCGTGGGGGAAACCCACCGTGCTCGGGGATGCGGATCTGCTGTGGGAAAACAGAAAAGAAGCGGTCCCTCCCGAGCAGTACTTCGCATTTCCTCCCAAAATAAATAGATCTAAGTTATGGCTGGAATCATTCCGTCCCCTAACCAGAAGGCACTGTAAAAGGGCTCAGAAAAAGGAGGGTGCTGGCAGAGGAAATACAGCAGATGCGAGAGAAAATTTCACTTTGCCTCCAAGGGAAAAGAAGAACCCAAAGGACACCCGGCTTGCTTCAGCAGAAAACAGAAAAACTTTGTCGGCAAAGTGTAGAGAAAGTTTTTCAGGTGAGAAAAGGGAGCAAGCAGTGCAGAGCGGAAAGGAGAGAGCAAAGCAATTTTACAAAAATCATCCAAAAAAACGGTCAATTTATGTGAAAGGAGGTAATTTATATAAATATTTTGGTTTGCTTTCAACCCCCTCTAATCCGTTATATTTTTAAATCAAATACGAAAAACTTCCCAAGAAGTTTTCTGTGCTCAAAAAAAAAAAAAAATCACAAACTAAGAATTTTCTCTTTGTTAATGAAGAAGATCTTGAAGTGCACTGAATAGGAAGATGAACTTTGGAAAGATGACAGGGAACCATTAGTCCCTCCATCAGGGCCAGTGGGACAGAGAACACAGCAACCAAAGCAGACACGGTTTTTGCAAAGTCCCACCTCACACACGCTATATTGAATTAGAACAGCAACGGTTGATTACCCAAGAATTAACCCGAGTTAAAAGTAGGAAATTTTTGCTTCCAGGAGCCAGAATATTTAAAGGCTGGAGCATCTCATCATATTTTTTTTTTACCCGGGGTGAGTGAAGCGTTTTGGATGTCTGGGTCTTACTGAGATCAGAAAGCAAATTTCCTTTTACAGCCTCGGAAAAAAAAAAAAAAAAATTAGAAATTAGCCAAACCAAACAGCAATACTAGAAATCAAGGCGAGATGCGTCAAGGGGATGGGACACAAGGTCTCTGTGTGAAATTTTCTACATTTTTGTGGGTTCTGACACAACAGAAATGTTCAGAAGACTCGAGTACCTTTCAGCCAAGCCAATAACAAAATTTAGCCCCCAAGTCCTTCTTGTCTGCTCGGTTCCAGCGGCTCCAAAGTAGCGGATTTTGCAGGCAGCACTGAGCTTTGATTTGAGGTGGCCTCGGGTGTCAGGTTTGGACAGGTCTCCTTTGCGAGGAGATACCTCTTGCAGTAATCTCACTTCCTACATCTCTGATGGCACAAAGCCTCGTGCTCTGTAAGGCGGCCGAGCTGCGCTTTGTCCCTCCTGCTCGTTGCCACGTTGAAGGCTTTGCTTAGCAGGTGAAAAGATGGGAAAAATATTGGGAAAAATAATACTGGTTAGCAGCACACCGTCCAGGGTGTCTCTGGGCACCCGGGGTACCACGCAACTTGACCATTTTCAGACACTCTGGGATACCCATCGCTTTGGAGAACACCATCCTTGTGTCCCCTCCCAGGGACACTCCCCCACGCGCTCCAAACACCGTCCCGCCGAGTTCGCAAAGGATGACGCCGAGGTCTCTGCCCCTTGGCCTGCCCTCACGGCTGCGGATGGCCGCGCCGGGCTCTCTCCCATGGAGGAAGCCACGGAGGCGACTCCTGACCTAACTCTTAAGTTGATGGTGGACTCCAGGATCTCAGAAGAAAAACCAGCAGAAAACCAATGTGATGTGAAAGGAGCCAGAAGCACTCGTGCGGGCAGGGAAGACCCGACCTCTCAGTGGTTTTGGATCTACCACCGGCATTGTTCGAGCTCGGGACCAAATCTGAACTTCCCCTCTTGAACTCTTGAAGCATGCAACTTCCCCACGTGAGCAGGCAGCGTAAGACCGGAGCCGTGTCTCGTGTGGGAAGCAGAACTAGGAGGAGAGCCTGACATTGAACAGCACAAGTCTCCGCTGCCTGCACAGCGTCGGCCTCGGAACAACCCCTCCTACTGCATCAGACACCCCCACGCCACATCAGATGGGCTGATCTCCGTGACCACAAGATCAGATCAATCAAATTTATCACACTCTTGCAAAAGAAGATAAATCTGCCTTATTCTGAGCCTCCTGGCTGACTGAATAAACCATTCTATCATTCTGGATAGAAATTAGACGGGCCCAACGCTGTCCTATTTTTTTCTCAGGTAAGTCAAAATGAGTTTGAGCGATGCGATTAAGATTGCATCAGTGCTAAGTGAATACGAAATTACATCAGAACCCAAAAGTCAGGCCTTACTTCATAACAAATATGGCAATGATGGACGGCCGCTTGAAAACACCCCTTGTTTGTCATAAATTTCTAAATGCTGTTGCATGGAGCCAGGAAGTTCAGCACTAGCACGATGGAAAACTCGTGTTGTGAAGAACAGCTGAATGAAGTAGAGGGAGCATGCTATCAAGATACACGTATAAAACTGAACAAACAAATCAACAGACTTCAAATTAAAAATTACATATTACAGCCACAAGTCACCCCAAGTCTTTACGTCCTGGTATCTCGCACACTAAAAAAACCCGAAAGCATTTTTTTTTTCTTGCCTGGCAACACGTGCTGATGCGTGACTGGAAGCAGCCCAACAGCTGATACGTGGGGGCCAAATCCAAAATGCAAGGAGGCAGAACAGGGGTAATGACCAGATAATCTCCCCACCGCCTCAAAGACACTTAACGTTAGTCTCTGAGCATGTGCACTGTTCATCTCCAGTAATAAATTATATTTTCTTTTTCTTTTTCTTTTTTTTTTTTTAACCTTAATTGACAGGAAAATAAAGCCCAGTTTCATACCTGCAACCTCTCCGGCACATGGGGCTGTCGACACGACAGGGCAGACGGACCAGCTCCTTACGACAGACAGACACTATCCGTCACTATTCGTGATACACGTGTCACCCAAAATTCACCGATCTTGAGCTGATGTCTTGAACCAAAGTCCTGACGAGGCCCCAGACCAGCAGCGCTTTGGGAACTGGTTCCAGCTCCGGCTGCTCCCTGCGACACCAACTGAGCGGACGAGCCCCCAGCTTCACCAGCAGCCCCTTCCCGGGGCAGATTTCTACAGATTTGAAATTCAACCTGCAAAATCACGGGAAATTCTGCGAAGTAGCTCCTCGCCTTTATTTCTGGCATTTTCGCTCTCTGGAAAAGGGAATGTAAACAACAAGTAGTAAGTCAGATTGTTCTGGTCCTCCAAAACCGCTGTATTTGGTGTGTATTTCAGATCATTTTCTTTAATACGTGCAAAGACACCGCTTAACAGTATCCTGCCAACAGCCTGCTGGACATCCCCCCTCTGACACAAAACGCACCCTTTGAACGATGCAAAATTCCTTGAACGATATTAACAGGCAAGAGCCATCAGGCAGAATAATACTGGAAAAAAAAAATAAAATAAAAGAATCAAGCTCTCGGAAAGTGACGTTGGGATTTCGACAAGTGGCGCAAAAAGGCAAACCCTTCTCTGAGGTCTCTTCTCTTAACAGCGTTTCCCACGCGGGTGCACACACCGCCCGTTTAAACGAGGTTTTTAAAGCCAAAGCAATGGGTTTTCAGAACACCCTCACACGTATCTTCCACGCCTGAACACAGAGGTCCCACAGCGCACGCGCACGTTCCTCGGTTTCCTCAGCCCAGCTCCAATTCCTGCTGCCCTCTACTTCAGAATGACCCCTACCCCTATTTCATGAGTTATTCACCTATCCAGATGTTTAGAAATGAAAGGCAATGTGTCTGACACTTACAGGACGGCCCTCAAGACTTTACTTGTAGAGATGGCTCATGACAGCAGATGGACTTCCCTCAGTCACAAGGTGAACTAAGTATATACATATATATATTTTATTATTTTTTGCTAGTTGGAGTAGTGACTGCCAGCAACAAAATGCACAGCCACTAAAAAGAAGGTTGGAGACAGCTGATGTCAACTCCAGGCCAAGCCCTTGAAGAAGCTCCATCGCTTCCCAGCCGCTTGCGTTCAGCTGAGCTTGACTCATCGTGCATCTCCCCGGGAAGCAGCTGCACTTGCACCCTGTACTTACAGGGCCTCAGGCTGTGCTTAAGCTGGATTTCCCTGTACAGCACCGATGGCTGGTGGCAATTCCACTTGTTTATGTAGCTACTGGGAAGTCATGTAAACTGGCGCCGCTCTCACGGCATCGGTCACCCGCACCTTGTACCCAGCCAGCACTGATTACTGGCAGTAAAAAGCACACCAACATCCAGGGATCGCTCGGTTACATCACGGAGCGAGGCGAAATCAACTACTTAAACGTGCAAAGCATCGTTTGTCTCGAATAACTGAAACAAATGCGGAAATCGGAGTTGTTTGGAACTTTCGCATCACCGCGCTTTTGTCTCAGAAAACACCATTCAGATCTAAAGGGCTTTTCCCGCAGGTACATTTGAATTTTGCTTAACTGGCCCCAAATTAATATAAAATCCGAACAAAACGTTTCAGTTGTGTTTATTTAAGAGAGAACAACACAAAGAACAGCTGTCTTGTTGAAATGAGCTGAAATATTTCACTTTTCTCAGCCTGACTCTGACCTGTGTCCACCTGAGCCACCATCAAGCCGTGAAGTTTCAAAGTCGTTTTTGCACCCCCTGACCCCACTTCTGCAGCCAGAGTCCTTACCCAGCTTACACCGCTCATAACTCAAGCTACTGAACCTTTAATTAAACCCTGGTGCTACCCCATGGATGTTTACGAGCACCGATGAGACTCTTCCCCAGGGGTGAACGATGCACCCCGCCCTGTTTTGGGATGAAGAAGCACCACGGTGGGTGACTGTCCCCGCAGCAGGGCTCAGCCGAGACCCTTCTTATGCTGTATTTGGAAAGGGCGACTGAAAAAAACGAAAATTTCAATCTTCAGCTTCATACCTGACAATTTCTTTTATCTCCATTATCGGCCCGTAGCACACTCGCAAGACAAGACAAGAAGAAAGTGTCGAGACCAACAGTTGCATAATAAGTTGAGTCACAGCAATTATGTCAAAATGTCCCGTGGAGACTGTGTTTCATTTGCTTATGTTGTGTTTGTTTTTTTTGTTTGTTTTTTGTTGTTTTTTTTTTTTTTTTTTTTTTTTTTTTTATTCACAAAGTTCATGCAAATGCCTCTTGAGCCCACCTAAAAACAAGCCAATAAGTTGCAAGTTGACCTTCAAACGTGCAAGATGCTAAACCAGGTGAACTCCTCAAGGCAGAGCGAGCCCTCGCCATGAGATGTGGCGTCACCTCCCTCCTGCCACCTCCTGCTCCTCACGCTTCAGCAAAAGCCAAAGCTCTCTGAAGCTTTGCTCACCACCATGCAGCCCGTTTTGTTTTTTTGGGTTTTTTTTTTTAGCTATTTTCAGCGCCGCCGCTGTACAGCGGCCAAGTTCACAGACGTATTTGTGTGATTTTTTTTTTATAACTTCCTCCAAGTAGGTCCATTTTTTTTTCCCATCCTAAGCTCAACATTTTTACTTTTCATAGGTCAACCAAAAGGCATCTTGCCTTGGCATCATGCCTATCTGCCCAGCCCAGTCGCAGCATTTCTTATGAACGCTGCCAGCTCCCAGGGCGGTTGGAGCAGGCTGGGAAGAGGGGGGAACCCAACTTATTTACAAACAGCCCGTCAAAAACTATCTCTGTAGAGCAGACTCAGGCCCTTCAGGGCTAAAAGGGCAAGGATTTGGGTGCTTCCCCATGGAAAGGCAGTTCCCAGGCAGCTTCCCACTGGGTACACGCTTTGGGGACTGAGGGCAATGCTATTTTTCTTCCATTTTTATGCCCGTTGTTGAGCCCGCATTGGGTTCCCCGCCCTGCTGGGGACTTCACCAAGCGCCGGGTACGTACCAAGGCTCTGAGCTGTTGCCCTGCTTGAAAGCAGAGGGGAAGGCAGAGGAAATGACACTGGCAGGGCGTTAGTGCAGAAGCGCCGTGAGCAGCCACACGCTGACAACATCCTGCCAAGCGCGGAAAACTCCGCTTGCCAACAGCCCTACTCATCTCCAACTCGAACCCCGTGGTACTCAAAGTCCACACAAGACTCTTGGATGCACATCAAGCAAGAGCAGCGATTCTGCTTACACACACCAGTCTACAACAGCAGAGGACTGACCTCTGTAATCCTCCTCTCTCCTGCCTTAACAAGGCACCAAGTGTAGGTCCGGAGCAGCGTGGAGGTGCCTGGCACTGCTGGGAGCGCTGTGGATGAGCTCGGGCTCTGAAACCAGCTTTGGGTACTGACAGATGTCGACCAGGAGCTGGTCCTTGGTTTTTTTTTCCATGTGCTAATTCACCCCGCGGGGTGCAGAGCCGCTGTGAGCTCGGTCCAGCACTGCAGCTCCCCGCCCTAGAGAGCTCACCGTGCAGCTCAAGTTCAGAGGTTATTAATAAAACACACAAGGGGAGGGCGAGTGTACTTGTGGGATGGAAGCAACCAGGCTGAAACGCTCAGAGCAGACATTCGATGTACTCAAGTGTTTTTCTTCCCTTTTTCAATTGCTGCTTTGATTCTTTGGCCTTTTTTTTTTTTTTGGTGACATGCAAATGTTAATTCAAGCTCTTCCTGTTCTCATGTCAGGTGCACGCAGCCAGCTTTCTCACAGCAAAATTGCCCAAAAGCTTTAAGACCTAAAAGATGGGGGATTGCCAAGGAGGAGAGACTTCATATACACCCTCATCTCTAGAAAAACACCCCGGAGGCTCCTGAACCAGCCTGGCCCAGCCTCCAGCGCAGCCAACAGCCCCTTCCCAGAGCTGCAGATGCAGCGTTTGCTTTTGAGGATGGACCACGAGAGCCTGATTCTCAGCTGATCCCCCAACACTCACTTCCTCACGCACATTAATCAGTTTGCCAGTTGCAAAAAACCCCACCCCTTCTATTTCTGGACTCACACCACTCAGCCACCAAGCCCCCACAAAACCCAAAGCTTTCCAGTTCAATGACGCTGGAACCAGTGCATAACTCAGCTCCTCTGCGCTGCTGTAACCCCCCACACCCCCCAGCATGCACAATCCCACCCGCGCACCCTTCCCACACAACGAAACCAGCCATGAAATTACACAGGTACGAACGCTACCGTTAGAAATTGCTGTTGGAAACGCAGCGTGGTTACCCTGCTCCCAAACATAAATGACAAAAAAAAATGGAAACTCGGCTATTGGTGTCAAGTTCTGTGCAGCCCATAATACTCAGGGTAGTTGGTAGATGGATCAAACCGCTCCAGAATCACCAGCCCCACAGACCTGGGGTGCCCACACTTTACTTCCAACCACCCGAGAGATGCTCTGGGCAAAGCTGTGGCGGTTCCTGGCGATGCCCTTTCAGTTCCAGGTGGCCCCATCTCAATATTCTGTTTTATTATTGAGTTTTGGCTCCTCAAGCTCCCAAGCCCAGGCTCAGCCCCGGGTGAATTCCCACTGTCCCCAGGCAGCAAGCACCAGCAAGTGGAAAAGGCAGGGCAGGGCTGCAGGAGGGCCAGGGCTCTGCCAGCAGCTATCACAGCCCCGAGAAACATCTGAGTCAGCCTTACGCGTGATAAAATGTTGACTCATATTTTCAGTTTCTTATTTTTAACCATAATGCTTCTGTTGCGAATTCATGCGATGCCTTGCTCTCCCACAGCCCCCGCCCCTGTGATGGATTTGCGTCCCTTATTACTTAATTACCTTAAAATGTTCATTGCGGTGTTTCTCAATGACAAACGCGATCCCTGAGGTCGTGTTTTCCAAAGGAGCCCAGGCACCTCGTGAGGATACAGATGTTGAGGAGGAGCTAAAGCCATCGCTCCCAGCCCTTGGCAGACGGAGCGCCCTCAGGGAGAGCTCAGCGGGTCTGAAGGCGCAGAAGAAAGCAAGAGGCAATTCGAAGGCAATTATAGGGGAACAATTAATCAGAAATGGGAAGCGGCACGTGTTGAGGGAGTTAACCGCAGGAACATGCCTTCGGCGCTACCTGCCAGGATTACCAACGCCAGCAGGTGAGTTGGGAAATCAGCACCTTCCTGGAAGCTTCCACCAGCTTCACGGCATTCCCCCCTTTATCTGTCGTGCTTTGCCATATGGGCCTGATCCAACACACATAACAGACGTTTTCCTGCTTCCCTGGCAGGTTTGTTTCTATTTTTCGAGGATGTAAAAGGCTCACAATCCCCACGCGTGCCAACACGGATGAAACCCCTGACTTTGAAGAAACCCAGGCGCTTCCCGCGCTCCTCTGGTGTGCTCAGCATCAGCTCCTGGTAGAAATTTCCAACAGCTCCCAGGAGTTGCCCACATATTTGCCGCTTCTGCAGGCTACGGGAGACGATGGGCAAGTTCTGCGAGGCTGCTTGACGAGCCGTCAGCAGTGCCTGTTTGGGGGTGCACATGCACATCCGTATGCCCAAAAGCTTCCCACTCCCATTTTCCCTGGGTGACATAGCATTTATTTTCAACTGCCTGAGAATTTCTGTAGGAATAATGCTTCGTCTCAGGAGCGCCTGAATATCTATCGCCTCAATCAAGCCTTGAGTCGTTCTAGCAACTAAATCAACAAAGCAAAACCAAGAGTATGGAAAAACCCAGGCTGCCTGATTATCTAGCTAAATAGCTCCAATAATTTAATTCACCTAAAGCATGTGAATCGAGAATATAATGAAGGTCATCGGGGGAGCTGCTCTGCATCAACAGGAAGCGTGATGTAACGCTTAAAGCAGATTAGGATCAGGAAACCTGCCGCTATTTGCTTTTCCTCTCTTTTCTGTACTTTCATCATCTATAAAACAGGAATACTGACATTTTTCCTACAGATGCATATTAAACCACTTCATTAACGTCTATGCAGCGACTGGGGTGCAGATGAGAAGGGCTGAAGATACCACCCAAGGTTGTGGGTGATTCAGAGGAGCACCGAGGCGCAGCGTGAGCGTGGGTTGCAGGATTTCTCTGCAGGCAACACAGGAGGCCACGGCGGGTGCAAAATAAGCATCAAACTAGGGGAGGAAAATGCTCTGGAAACAAACGAGACAACGTAAAAAGCTACGGCTAAGTCCCTCAGAAGGTGTCCCAGCTGAATACTCCTTTTCAAATTTATTATGTTGCGACGCTGTCAGAGATCTGTCCGTGGAGGTGCAACCCCCCCTCCTTGGGCTGCTTGGTGCTTAATGGAATTTCCCCCCTTGGGTCACACGCCAACCCGAGAGGAATGGGAGGAACTGGAGCACAGAGGCACCCCCTGCACGCTCCCAACTCCTGCCTCCCCCGCGGCTTGGGGACGGACCATGGGCCAACCACACACCCTCGAGCCCACCTGGGTCCTGCCCCCCTCCCCTACGGTCTGGGAACAATGACAAAGGTGGGGACCAGAGCACTGAGGCACTCCCTCAGCCCTCTGGCCTCTGCCCCCTCCTCGTACCGCTTACAGAGCAATAGGAACCGTCGATGCCCCTGACAGCCCAGTACACCTGTACTCGGGCTGTGGCCCAAAGGGGTGATGCCAGAACTCCAAGATCCGGCAAGTTCTGCGCCTGCACAGCTGGTAGGAAGTGCCAGAATATTCCATCATCTGAGACGGAAAAGTACCCGACGGAAGTCAACTATCTCGGACCCTATAAACAGGGATTTTGAGCTCTGCTGGGTGGCAGCAGCTCTGAGCAGCATCTCCCCCGAGCTGGGATGTCCCTGGGGCTCAGACTGCCCCCAGATCACCTGCCCACAAAGCCAACAGCAGGCCAGGCTGAAGTCAGACTTCTTGTCGACTCTCAGCCATCACCCACTGAGAAACGCGTTTTCAGTATTTCCTCCAAAGTCGAGAAAAGGGAAATTTTAACTACAGGTTAGTCTCTTCCGCCCCCCCGTTACCTCCCATCCACTCTTACACCCCCTCTTTACTCTCACCTACCTACACACATTTGCCTTCACGAGTGTGGATATCTATATATTTCACTGAATGTCCAAATATGTCCGTGCTGTCTGTGTGTGTATTTACATATGCATATATCCAGAATACCCTGTAGTAAGTTACTGTGAATCTTGTCATTCTCGAATCGAGTCACTATTTTAGTCATATTTTACTAAATCATTTTGTTAATCTTGAAATCGACCAACCACTAAGTGCTGCTAAAATTCAACCTTTGATCTACCTCACACTACAAACAAATTTTAAATTGTTATTAAATCCTGGCTGCGCGAGATACTTTCATCGGCGACACCACCTAGAAGTCAAGACTTACTTGGGCCATTTCTTCCTATCGCTGGAGTCTGGGACAGGAAAAGATGCTCCACATGGCAGCTGGAAGGGGTAAAATAGTAAGGCTAAACCAAAACTAAATTATATGAATAAGTCTAGGAAACACTGGCTGTAACACAACTCCAAAACCAAGCGCCAGCCGGATTTGTTAAATAATCATCATTAAATCAACTATATCTCCATTAACAATTTATTATGCCGTAGAGCCAGATGCATTCAGCAAGGTGATTCAAATTTTTATGAGTGCGTTTTGTAATACCTGGACATCAGAGCCGTTTTCTGTGTGCGCAGTCCAGCAGTCAAAATTACGATTGCTCTTAGGCAGCAATTAACTGGGTACAAAGCACTCTGCCCGCTTCACTGCCTAAGTGTGAGGACAAGCCAAACCTTCTCTGTCAATTTGCTTTTTTTTTTTTTTTTTTTTTTTTTTTTTAGCAGAAAACCGAGTTTTTTCCCCAAACAGTTTGCTTACAGCCACTCTTCGCTTTCCGAGGAAGTTCCCTCAGCGACGTTTTTAATTTTCAGTGGGCTAAATGCTGTTGCAGCTTTCTGTAAGAGAATTAAAATAGCTTTGTTGTGCCAGTTTTCTGGCAAGGGGGCACGTGCTTGTACCCCACCGCAGCCTTAGTTGCTTTCTTAATCCAGACCAGCCCAAAACAGGCTCCCTCAGCCTGTTTGCCACTCAGCTCTGTGTGCCTCTGCTGCTTCACCCTGACTTACGGGAAGCAATATTTTACATCCCGACGACTCAAAGTTCACGCAGCACGCTTTGACTCATCTTATTTATAGCCCAGCGGCGACCCTTCACGTGGCCGCAGCGATACGCGGCACGACCGGCCTCGGTAGGTTTAAAACGACCGTGGACGCTCCTCGCCACGGTAACCCTGATCATCACGGTTGGGTTTGTTCTTTTCAAACCACAGGATTTATCCCCAGGGTGTCTAATTCCTGTTTAACTCAGCCTCTCCTCTCCCCGTGGCCAGGCTTCCAGAGCTGAGCTGCCGTGAGCGAGGGGTCCGGCCGACCCACCGCCACGCGCGAGTATCTCCGGCACGCACCCAGTTAGTTTTTATTCACTTCTTGCCACCTTTCTGTGTCTTCCACATTACACTGGAGCTCTGCAGGATTTGATGACGTACTTCAAGATACACCAGCGATAACAACCAGATCACGGGAGCAGGAATCAATGACCCAGCAGCGGTAACTCCAGGTCCATCACCTCACCCGCCTCCTGCCAGCTCTCCAGGCTTCTGCATTAGGTTTCTGGCTCAGCTTCAAACCAACATTAAAGCCAACACCTGCTTCATCCTCGTTTTCCTCCTTTTTTCTTCTTTCCCCTCTCCATTTTTTTTTTTTCCCCAAGACCGTAACAGCAACAAAGGAAAGCTCCTGCTGACAGGGACTCAGCCATCAGGGCTGTCTCAGCGTTGCAATGCAATCTCTTCTCAGAAACGGCACTGCCAAGAGGAAGCCAGACACGTTCACAAATACATGTCCAAATTACGCGTCAACATTACAAGCCCTAACAAACAAAAAACTCACTTGAAAGCTGTAATCCTTCCTGCTCAGGGCCGTGATACAGTCATGTTCTCAGGCTTACCTTCACCGGGCTCAAAATAGCCCGAACGTCCCCAGCCCAGCTCCTGCTCCTGTGTGGCACGTTGGGAAGGCAGAACTCAACCCGGGGCGCGCACAGGGTCAGATACACGGCTGCAAGGCCTGCAAAGGCAGCCAGCCTTTAAGCTGAGTGCATTTATAAGGTGCTTGGCTAGCCTGGCTCTGCTTCTCCAGCTGTCTCTGTTGGGATGGAGCCCTGGATGCTCCAGTCCAGCCCAAATACCCTCTGATGGGAAGCAGGGCGTGAGGAGAAGGGGGACAGGCAGTGCTGCACAACTCTGCCTTGACATGAGCGAGACCCAAGACCAGACTCCTGCAGCCCAGAGCACACAGTGAGCAGCTACAGACACGACTCCCAGTCCCCAAGCTTATCCATATTCCAGCTGTATTACTTAAATAAAAACCCAGTGTTAGCCACCAGGGATATTCTTTTCTTTTTCCCATCATGTTTCCAAGGCAAAAGAACTGACATTACCAAGCAGGTTTGCTGACTATAATAGAGAAAACTCATATTATTGAACACTCATACAGGCTTTTCTGTCCCTTCCTCCGTGTACACTCTTGGTTCTAAACAAAGGAGAACAGACAGGATAAATCAGAGGGCAAGATGTACTTCAACAAATAGATCTTTTTTTTTTTTTTTTTTTTCTAAAACTGTCTCAATTCTGTTTATATTGGCTAGGAGACAGCATCCTCCATCCTCCTCAAACATACCAAACAAAACCCAAGCTAATGACACGATTCCCGTAATCAAGGTCACCGGCCTGGTTTTGCTGGAGCGTGCAGCTGAATTTTATACCCAGGGCGGAACTCAAAACTTAATTTAAAATGGGCTAAGTATCAAAAACTTAAATAATTTGCTTCACAGGAAGAAAAGCACTTGGGGAATGCTTTTTCCTCAAAAAAGAGGAAAGTTGGAAAGCTTGCAGGTCTTCTGGAGTGTTTCATCTAGAGGAAGCTGCCAGTAGCTGTGATGGTGCTAAAGTCAA